CGCCCGATCAACCTCTGGATGGCGTCCTGGTCGTCGAGGCCGCTGAGAAGCGTGGCTAAGCCTCCTTGCCGGGCAAAGGTGGACATTGTCGCTGTCGCCATTCTTACTTTGCGGTGGAGTGACGGGGATGAGGGTCGAGCGCACACGCGACGGCACGAGCAGGGCGTGGCAGGTGGGATTAATGAGAGCAGAGGGGACGGTCTTGCGTGATGGTCAAAGAAATTGAGTAGGGGTGCGTGGGAAGTCGGCGGGAGGGTGAGAGGGTCCAGTGCAGCGCTCTTGTTGTCCACAAATGGCAGTGGTTTGAGGCAGCCAAAGGAACTGGGTATGAGAGAATGGCTAGTTGGTAGAAGGGCAAGGGGAAACCGTGCAGTGTTGTTGTGTAGAGAGCAGAGCTGCGCGTGGCGGTTGAAGGAACCGCGTATGGGAGGAAGACGTTGTTCAAGGGTGTGAGGGAGTGCAGTGCAGTGTTGTTGTTGTTGTTGTTGTAGTGATCACGAGCACCATCAATCAACGTGCCTGGTTTGCGCGTGCTACCAATCCGCCCACTCAACACTACACTGCCTCCAACGGTGTCGATACCTCCTCGCCATTGAGCCTCGTCCGAGGCTTTTAACATGGATCGCGCCAACTACTACATCGCAAAGGAATTCGTATGTCCTCACTCACTGTTTGCAGTCCATTCGTCTGATTGTCGGTTAGGTTAAACGGGCCATTCGCGCCCTCGGCGCTGGGAGCCTGGACTACCTCCAAATCGCCTGCACCCTGCTGCTCGTCGTCTGACTGTCTGCCAGCGATGCATCGAACTCCAGCTTATGCGCCTTGTGCACCATTCCTACAACGCGCAGAGACCAACTGCAATACGTTCGTCCCTTTGGCGTTCTGAGTTACGCGCTCGCTAACCGACCCTCAGCACCGATCGAGGGCCAGGACGACCTCCCAGAGACCTCTAGCCAGGGTAGGCCAGTGCCGGCGATCATTCTGGCAGCACTTGCAGATTTCCACCGCGATAGGATCATGGTGACTAGCCGCCATGCAGCCAGTCAGTCTTCCAACCCAATTGAGGAACCCTCCCATGCCCGTCTATCCCCCTCTAACCCAGTCCACGACAGTAAACAGAGGAGTCTTCATAGGGAAGGCCAAGGCACGATTGGGGTCTTCTGGTGGCATTTCGTTGGCGTGTGGCCCTTGGATATACTGTACTGCCTGATGGCAACTAGGATAGTGCTTTTGGCATTCGGTTTAGGACTGCCTTATTCAGAGTAGCCGCTAGGTCCCCTGCGTGCAGCTAAGCGAGCTGCCGTGCATGGTTATACATGTCTTGGTAGCATGCCTTCACTTTCCTCTCGTGCTCTCGCCGCCCGACTATCTCTCTCTGCGCGCTTTTGATGAACGAACTGCAAACATAGAGCAACGGTTGCTCTCCGTGTACGACAAGGAAGCTACCGAGGAGTTCACGCTCTTGAAAGAAAGCCTCACGGCCTGTACTTGGTTCATCGTGGTAGCAGGAGCAGGCATCTCGACGTCCGCTGGAAGTGCGACATCTCTCCCTGCGTGTATCTGCTTGTGCTCACGCTGTGGTGAAGTTGCCGATTTCAAGGACCCCTCTGGACTAGCACAACGATTCGGCGGGAAACTCAATCTTTCCGAGGCAGTCTATCACAACAACGCGAGGCTGGAAGCCTTCCACGAGTTCCTACGCGAGGCGTGCGTGCAGGCGTCGGCTTCGAATCCGACACCCTTTCACTACTGGGTTAATGCTCTTGCTAGGGACCGCCGTCTAGTCCGTCTCTATACACAGAACATTGACGGACTGGAGCTGAGGCTGCCCTATCTCTTCACCCAAACTCCGTTGACGACCAGCGGGCCGTGGCCCAATACAATCCAGCTTCACGGGACTTTGCACTACTCGCAGTGCACAAAGAACGGACACGTTCTGCCCACCGATCTGTCGTGTATAAAGAGTTTGTAACCCTCTCGTGAGCTGCTTCCGTGTTTCGATTCTGCACTGCGTGGCACTGCGTACCTCGATTTCCTCCGGCTGAAGCGTTGTCCGGCGCGGGTCTGAGGTTGGCGACGCGTCCGCGAGCGTGGCGTTATAAGTAATGATGTTGTATAAATTATCTCTATATGCAACTAGGCAGGTCGTCAGTACTACGGACGCCTACAACGATCTGGGGATCGTATGGTTGAGTGCCGCTACGAGTAGCGTGGCTGCGGCAGCAGTCTTATCTATGTAAAGTTGCGCAGTGGAAAACGCGCGGTGGAGCTAGACTATGCTTAGCATGATGGTATATTGACCTGAATTATTAACCTACATGCTGGATGGCTTCCTCACTTAACATTGGTGGAGACGGCATGGCGAAGGCGTAGAGATTGTAAATTGTTGCGGTTGATAGTTTGCGTAGTGTTGCGGTGTGTATGGAGGACGCGTGAGAGAGACAAGGCCAAGCGGCCAACCATAGGACAGACAAGCTCTTGCTTGAGTTATGTAAGCTACCTGACACTGGCTGGGGAGGTGAAAAGGGATGGAAAAGGCGTTGATGCCTGTACGGCCTGCCTATACGCGGCTTATGAATTAAACTTTGATTTTAATCACCCATGTCACGAACTGTACTTTGAATTTAATCACTCATGCCACGAACTGTACTGTTTTGCTTTTAATTACCTATGTCTAGAACTATACGGTTTGGATTTTAATTACCTATATTAAGTGTGGGAGGTGATCTGTGTGAACGCGGTATCTGGGAGGTCTTGTTAAAGGTATGGGCGGTACAGTGTATCCTCGCATCCTCGCATCCTGGAGTGGGTTGGGTACCGCTACAGATCGCACTTCCGACTGCAATCCCCGCCATCCACCCAAAGGCGACCCTACCAGCATCTGTCTACCAGCCTAGTTGTCAGACTGAGTAGACGACGGTCGTAGAGCCAAATCGACTGGCAACGGCAGCTTGTCGTGCGGAGGCCCGCGGTTGCTTGGAGCTCGCTCTTCGCAGGCTGGGTACAAAGCTGTGTCGCGTTAGTATCATGTTCTGCATCATAGGGATAGGGATTTGCCGACTTGTGAGGACTTGAACCAGACACAGGGACTGTGCCATGCAAGGATCGTCAGGGTAGATCTCGCGGATGCGCTTCACTGCGGCCTGTATCTATCGACAGTCAACATGGGTTGGGTTGGCAAATATAGCTCCTGCGCTTGCTGTAGGATGTGGGTGCTATGTGCTTACTTGGCTTTAGAGCAATTTCAGGGTATCCG